CCCAGCATCTGATGAGTGACTGCAGCAGAGGCTAGAATAGGTTTGGATTTGGTTTAAGCTGATTAGGCCTTATGTACATGCCCTGCTTTGAGCTACATGGCTCGCAAAGTGTTGCGTCCGCCCTGTACTGATATAAGTGTGTAACGGAGCATCCCAGGGTGCCGAGCTGCGGCTGGGCATTCTGGGAATGTTTGCAATCGATTGGGGGATACCTGCCGGTGACTAATGCAATTGTGGGACATGGGGTCAAACTCCCATGATCCTTCCTCCCGTAACCCATAATTAATCTGGTTCCCACTAACCATGCTCTGGGCAAAACTGAATTAAGAGTGTCCACATGGGATTGCACCATGTCAGTCTACGTATAGGCAGCCAACCCTCACCCCCACTCCATATTCCTCTAATTTCAAGGAGATATCTTGTGGAGGCCGGGTCTCCTTAGCAGGGGGTGGAGCAGTGGAAGCCGGCCTGGTCTTTAATTAGAGGAAAACTAGGACAAGCGTAGTCGCATTTATATGCTAGGCACTTCTGCAGCATCTCGGTATCTCTCTCTTTTTTTTTTTTTTAAATGAGCAGTAGGTTACTCGCATCAATGGTCTTCGAGAGCAATCGCCCGGCCACGGCTGGAGAAAGAGGAGCCTCCATTTCCATTGCTCCCAGCCGGCAGCTGGGGTCAGTTTAAAACTCTCTTGTGGAGAGTTTGCTGCTGTTGTGAGCAGAGCAGTTGGCATGCCGTTCAGTAACATCCACTGCACCATCCGGTGCCTGAGTCTTGCCCTAGAAGCCGGAATAAAAGTGCAGACAAACGGCTGCTGGTAGATGTTGAATAACTTGTAGGATTTCAGTTCAATAAACTAGTGGCTACTGTTTTTTTCAATTAAAAAGAAAACAAAACCTGTTCCGTGGGGTCTGGTTTCATTCTTGTCTTTGCCTTAAATTCTAGGATTGCCAACCCTGAGTGATCAAAAATCATGAGCCCCTCCCCCTCCCCCCATCCCCCCTAAAAAGCATCAGATTGGCCTACAAATCTCGAGATGTAAAAACCAATAATAAATTGTGGGTGTGCTTTTAATTTGCTGTCAGGGCGTATAGGGGTCCTGCTTTCCAGCTTTTCTCCACCACCACGAGGGCTAGACACTGACTTTTGAAATGGTCACTAGACAGGTCAGCATAACTGTGTTCCTCGGGCGGGGGGGTGAAAAATTCACCCCCCTGAGTGGCATAGTTAAGCCAACCTAAGTGTCTGTGTAGACAGCGGTAGGTCAATGGAAAGAATTCTCAGGGAGGTGGATTACGTACGCCAACGGGAGAACCCTCCCATCAGAGTAGGTAGTGTCTACACAACCGCTACAGCAGCGCAGCTGTAACATTTTAAGTGTAGACAAGCCTTCCCCCTGACTGTGTGGCTGGAAGCCAGCGCTGCAGCAGCACCCGTACGCTCCCATCCACCAGATCACCAAGAAGTTTGGGTTTTGCTTTCCCTGTTCCTCTGCATTATAGCTTCTGTGAGAGCCACCACACAGGGGGATTGAACCAGGGACGCCAGCGCGAAAAGCCTGAGCCGCTCCGGCGTGAGCTAAAGAGGTGCGAGTCCCTGCCTCGCTCTAATGGACACGTATCCTGTGGAGCAGAGACTGGCTGAGACGTGCAACGCACTTCAGGGGGTTACAGTTATCTGCTGCCCTCGCATATTACAAATTCAAGCACCTTCCTCCTCTCTCCCGGAGAGGGGGGATTTGAAGTTCAGCCCCTTTCTTCCTGTCCCTGTCACTCAGGGCTCTGGCCAGAACCTGCCGCAAAGAGCAGGGGGGAGGCAGGACTGGACTTACTTAGTGGAAAACATGTGCAAAGGGAGAAAAACAGGAAAGGGGGAAAGTTCTCCATCACTGCGCGTCTCGCCTCATGCCACGCAGGTGGGAAATGAGCAGCACGGTACCAGCACACTCACCTGCGCAGCGTTTGCAGTCTGGCGTCAAGGGCACGCCAGCTGCGGGCCAGCACACGACTCAGACTTATTGGCCGAGCGATGGCCCTAATGATTTTGGTGGGAACCGGGCGAGCCCAATTGCCACTCACGTCAGGTCCACCGAGGGCCCCTTTGGTGCTGGAGGCTGGGGAGGCTCTCCGCCCCCCCCCCCCCCCCCCTTCCACCCACCCCACCCACACATCTCACAGGCAGCTGTTTGCTAGAGGGTTTGGCAGCTGGCAGCACCTTGTCAGCCTCCCCCTGCACGTGGGAGTAGCTCACGAGGCTGCGTAGCGGTCCAGGCAGCCGTCGGTAATGGGGACCGGGGGTGGTTGCCTAGTGCAGGGGTTTTCAACCGTTTTCCCTCCCCCAACATGCTGTAAAAACGCCATGGCCCACCTGGGCCACAATACCTGGTTTTCTGCATCTAAAAGCCAGGGCTGGCATTAGGGGGTAGCAAACAGGGCAACTGCTTGGGCCTATGGTCTAACGCTGGCCCTGCTTGGCCGCCCCCCTGAAACCTGCTGATGGCCCCCCCAGGGGGCCCCCGGTTGAAAACTACTGGCCTACAGGGCCCGCTCGAGGAAGTTTAGGAAGACGCTGGGGCTCCCAGGAACAGACATGCAGTCGTTGCTGTTTTCCCCCAGCTCCTGGGGTCACCTTATTCCAAGCTCCCTGGCCCAATTAAGCCTTTACAGGCTGCAGATCTGGTTTAGCCGCTTCCCGCCATGAGACAGCCTTAAAAGCGAGCGTTACACTTAAAAACCTACTGTTATCTGCCGGCGCGACGGGCCACAAAAGCCAGGCGTGCCGCGCCTGGCTCAGATCAGTGGGTTCAAAGGGTGGCTGTTGCCAGTGGCGTCTGACCGGGGCCCCTAGAAAATTTGTATTTGATTAGGAATTTCAAATGTTTGCCCCAATCTGGAGCCTGGGATTTTTAAAGAGGTGATTGAATCATGCCCGTGGAGGGGGAGCTACGGAGCCTGCTGCTTCACCTTCAGCACCTCTGGAGGTTGAGCTGGGAGACATTAACAGACCTGTGACATTAACAGAATTAATGCAATGCCATGGGCAACGCTATGGGCCCAGGCAGGCCCCCACCGTTACTGCTCTGTCTGTGGGGCAGAGGGAGGAGCAATAGAAAAGCAAAGACCAGTCGTGTCAATCAAATAAACAGGGTCTGGTTGGTGATAATTGGATGTGTTTTATTAGCTTAAAAGCTGGGTTGGCCGATGGCTTTCCGGGTCACAGCTGATTGGGAGGCCAAAACCGCAGCTCATTTGGTCAGTAAAATGTCGCATCCCACCCTGGCAGACAGGGCAGCTACGTCCCCGGCTAGCGGCAGGGCCACATACACAACCCTGCTGGGCCATCTTCACTCAGGCAGCAGACCAGGGATTTGGAGCAATCAAATTTTTGACTTGCTCCACTCCGGCTCCGCTCCAGCTCCGGGCAAAAACCTACTGGTCCGTGCTTCAGCTCCGGGCTCTGCTCCAAAGCTCTGCGGCAGATGCCGGCCCATTTAGCATCAGGATACTGGATCCCAGCCCCGATGATGACCCCACTAGGGGGTGTCGTGGTGCTGCCCCATAACCCTCCTTCGTTACTGCCACACCGCAGTGGGCTCTTTTAGTTCAGGCCCACGCGTCAACCTCCAGAAGTCCCAGGTTCAATTCCCCCGCCATCCACTAGCACGAGACGGTCTTTAGCTCCGCCACTCTCGCTTCTCTCCCAAAGAAGACAACAATCCCTGAGGATAGGAAGTAAGTCAAGAAATAATACAAGAGAAGGGGGGAAAACATCTGTACAATGCCCAGCATTTTCTGGAGCCTACTGTGATATAAATACCACCACCAGTTGGAGATATGTTCCCTGGAGGTTTGGGCTAGCGCACGGTCTTTACATCTGTGACGCGGTTTCCGCAGTCCAAGGTATGTCACAGGCCGGAGTAGCCCTGGAGAGATACAGACAATAGTAACAGTTCTTTAGATGTTTAAAAATTCAGCCTGCAGGTATAATTAGTAACAATCTGGAATTTGTCATTTTCCACGAGACCCTCCTGTTTGCTTGGCAGGATTTTGACATGTATTCTTCAGCCCCATCTTTAGTATAAGCGTCAGCGACGTCTAGTTAAGGTTGCCTGATGCATCTCATTATAAGAACCAGTTTTCAATTGCTTATAACTTTGCCAAACTTAAACCTTGCGAGCTGAAATTTCCCATGCTGCTAAGATGAGCCAATGGTTACTTACCCTCACTGTTAAAAAAAACTGTGCCTTATTTCTAGTCTGAATTTGTTTTGCTTCAACTTCCAGCCACTGGCTCCTGTTATATAGTTGTCTGCTCGACTGAATAGCCGGCTATCGTCAAATTTTGTTCCCTGTGTAGGTAGAGACTGTAATCAATCTCTTTGTCATGCTAACAAGATTGAGCTCCTTGAGTTTTCATGTTTTCGAAACCTTTAAATATTCGCATAGCTCGTCTCTGAACCAGCCGTCTTGAGCTGTGGACAGCAGAATTGGACCCAGGATTCCAGCAGCACGCACCAGAGGGTTGACAACTTTGTAATATTTAAAAACCGGACACTCCAGCAGGAGTG